GCCTGAGGGGGGTCTGCGCACACACCTACACACACAACACCCACACGCGCCTGAGGGGGGTCTGCGCACACACCTACACACACAACACCCACATGTGCCTGGGCGGGGTCTGCGCACACACCTACACACACAACACCCACATGTGCCCTGTCCTGGCAGCTGTGCCCCTGGGCCCCTGCAAATCACTCTATCATGGAGAGTCCTGGAGAAATCCATTAAGTCTTCCACCAAGAATCACAGAATGGTTGTGGTTGGAAGGGACTTCTAGAGATCATCCAGTCCAAACCCCTGCTCCAGCAGGGACACCCAGAATGCAGGGTGGCATCCAGGTGGATGGTGAAGACCTCCAGAGAAGGAGCCTCCACAACCTCTCCGGGCAGCCTGTTCCAGGGCTCTGTCTCCCTCACTAGAAAGTTCTTCCTCAACTTACATCCCTACATCTGCTGCCTATTTCTAGTGCGCAGTGCAGCATGTTGGCCTTCCTTAGGGTGCCACTTGATTCCGGACTTTATAACCAATCACTTACAATTCTTTATGGGAAACCTGATTTTTTCAGCACTCTTCTCTATGAAGAGCAAGGAGCAGTTTCTCCATGGCATGTGCATAGAAAAGTCACATTGCTGTCTTATTTCCCCAGTAGATGTGTTTAACCAAAATACCAGATAGGGACAAAGAGACTGTATCTGACTTCGCACTCAATCATCTAGAGTACTGTGTCCAGTTCTGGGCTCCCCAGTACAAGAGGGATGTGGAGCTGCTGGAGAGAGTCCAGCACAGGGCTACCAGGTTGATCAGGGGCCTGGAACATCTGCCCTATGAGCAAAGGCTGAGGGAGCTGGGCCTGTTCAGCCTGGAGAAGAGGAGGCTGAGGGGGGACCTGATCAGTGTCTATAAATACCTCAAGGGAGGCAGTGAGGAGGATGGGGCCGGCCTCTTTTCTGTGGGGGCCACTGATAGGACTAGAGGAAACGGCCACAAGCTGAGGCACCAAAAGTTCTGCAGGAACTTAAGGAAACAATTCTTGACAGTGAGGGTGCCAGAGCCCTGGAGCAGGCTGCCCAGGGAGGTCGTGGAGTCTCCTTCTTCGGAGATCTTTAAAACCCGCCTGGATGCAGCCCTGTGACATGTGTTCTAAGTGACCCTGCRTGAGCAGGGACGTTGGACTAGATGACCTCTGAGGTCCCTTCTAACCTTAGGCATTCTATGATTCTATGATTCAATGAAAATTGCTACATATCAATATGTTTTTATGCCAGTAAGTTAGAAAGTATATAAGTATAAAAGTATATAATTAAATTAACAAAATGGAAGATTGGCAGCTTTTATTAGTTGTGTGGTGGAGAGACATCCTACCCAGTATTTATGCAGAGACATATGATATATTCAAAACAGTGATTTCAAAATTTGAGAGGTAAAAAATACACCCAGTGGCCAATGTTGCCTCTGTGTGCTGAACAGCATACACAGGGACTGCARTGAATGTCTTTTGTCCTTGCTACTAGCAGGCCATTGCTCTCACTTCGTAATAGTTTCCTTTCCTTATGTTCACTTTCTCTTTGCCAAAATTCCATGTTTACATAGGGCTAAACATTAATTAACAGTGAAAGACCATCTAAAAGCAATACATGGACTAAACYTCTTTGGCATGCATTCACACTAATGAAGATTCTAGTTTAACAAAAAAGAACAAAAACAAAATGACATCAAATTTAATTTTTAAGAAGCCTATCAATAAATACAGATTATCTTTAAATGTCTATTTATTCTCCTGCAAGCTAAACCTGAAGGCGTGTATTAAAAGGCAACATGAAGCCAGTTTTCGTGGGGAAAGGCATTGGTTCTCCATGGAGGAGACTCTTTGGCTTTCAGAACCGGTGCAGAGCCTCACACCCCTCCTATTCCCCAGCTCCCCAGTGCGCACGTTAGATCAGCAGAGCAACTGCAGGCAATGGAGAAACTAAACCCATACACTAGTTCTTGTGTGAGCTAATCTACCTACCTACCAACCACCCTTCCCCTGTTAGCCCCACACTAGACGGTTCTAGCACTCCTTCCAGRGCTAGTGCTGGTTCTAGTGCTCTTGCACAGAAATAGTACTACACACATGGCCTACAGATACACAGCACTGCCCAGAGGTACCTTCCAGCAGTACCTCTGGTGGCTTTTAGCTCCCGTTCAATGTATGGTGGCGAATGACAAAACTCAAACGTTTGCACAGTGTTTTGCAAGACATGCTTATGCTTAACAAGTCACAGCAGTTGAAGATTTTGACCTAGATTTTTTTTCTGCCTTTTTGCATTTTTACATAAATAATTAATTTTCCTGCCTGGTGCAGAGGGAATTCAAACCTTAATAGTGTTCTGTCCCAAATGCCTGGAAGAGGGGGAAAAAAAAAGAAAAAAAAGCAACAAAAAACAGAACTGGTAGCAGGAAGAAATGCACCAGCAGATCTATCAAGCTCTGTTTTCTTTGCCCAAGAATCCACAAGCAGCCCCAAATAAAAAGCCCATGACTCAGGCCACCAAGTACCACAGAGAGAGCGAGCACAGCCTCTCCACAGGGAGCTGCTTTTGAGGTCCACGAGAACCCTCAAATCTTTATGGAAATGCTAAGAAGCTAAAATCCCGAGGCCAAGGATTCCCCATGATTCTGCTCGAACTATGTGCAGGACAGGAAGAGCACTACTGCAGGCAGATCTGCTATTGGAGTAACAGCTTCATACGGCTCAAGTGCAACTTTCTTACACCAGTGTAAAATGCTAGTAAAAAACTAGTGCTAGCGTCACACGTGTCTGTCAAAAACACTGTGCTATTTTTTCATTTCTTTTCATAACCTCGCGGTGCGCCTCTTCATCTGCCTCCAAACTAAGGCACTGAGAATCAACAACTTAAAATCTGCTATTTATAGCCACGCCTGATCAATCCTGGCATGTGGTGCAAAGCTGACTGTGTCTCAGGCTCTTCAGAAACCGACCTTAGTTCAAAACCACTTAGATTTGCCTTGAAAAGAGMCTGAGTGGAGGAACACTCTTCGTGCACCTGAATCCCCCAAAACACAGGAAAAGTACCAAGGGCAAAGCAGCTCAGCAAAATCATTCAAGAAATATTGGAAACAGGCAAGAAAGCATTTCCAAACTGGCCTTTCATTAGCTTCTCTCTCTACCTGGTCCCCTCCATTTTATTTGAAAAAACTCATTCTGTCATATTTAAAGAGAAATATCATCAAACATCCTCAAAGATTATTGTAACCTTTACATTATACAGTCTGGATTGAAATGATTGAGTGAAATCAGAGTTTTCCCCCAAACTAGGGAAAGGACTTACATCATCCTAAAGGAATGCGGGTTTCACATTTCTTCCTTTGGCTCAGAACACAAATACATCATTATGTAAGACTTATTATATATTTAAAGATAATTCTCTAATACACAATGACAGATACTCACAATTTATAAAATTAGTGTCACATAGCAAGATAAAATTTAAATTTAATATAAAAAAATAAAATAAATAAATAATAAAAATAATTTAATTTATTTAAATTATTTAAAATAATTTAAAATAAAATTTAAATTAAGCAGGCTTAATTTAAAGCACTCAACACAGATATCAACAGCACTCAACACTGTACTAAAACACCTTTTAAATTACTTTATTTTTCTGATAAGAGAGGGGGTGAATCAGCAAATTCCTCACGCTGCCGTAAGCCCTGTGCTGACCCAGTACCTTGTGCTCCCGTTGAAATAACCCCGAGCACACGAGCCTCAGGGGCCTGCAGCAGCTTCAGGCCCCCTCCCAGCTCTGTGGCCCCAGCTCCCGCTGGCTGCCACCGCTCCCGTGTGCCCCTGCCCTCACACAAGTGCCCCCCCGAGTGCCTCGGGCACGTAAGCCAGCACCGAACCCACCGCCGCAATAAGGCCGAGGCCTTCGGCAGCTGGGTTTGACACCTCAATTACTCAGTGAAATGAGCATCCATTTTAGCACTTGCAATCATTAACGTTTTCATTTTGTTTGCTCTTATCCCATTTGTATCCTTTAAATTCTTGTTTGAGTATACTCTTAAAGTGACTTTAAAGACATACACTGGCAGATATCACAACTCTGTATATGCTGTTACAATAGAAATCCTTAAAATGGTGCTGATATAAAATATTTCTAAAAAAAGTGTTCAAGATGAAAGTTACTCTTTGGAAATTGAAATATTAAGTTTTTTTAATTCTTTGCAAACTTGGCAGGACATGGAAAGAGCCCCCAGCATTATTTTGTGTCCAGCAGGGAGCAGGTGGGTGACAGCCTAAGGGCTGTGGGGCTCCAGTAAATCTTTGTGCTGCCTCACGCTCTGCTCTGCTGCCCGTGTGGAGAGGTAGCTCAGGGAGGCCAGCACCACGGACATGAACACTCGCTGGCTGCTTCGACTTGGTGTTTGTCAAGTCAAAGATTTAGAGCATCCTGCAGAGCCATTTTCATCACTCTCTGCACACATCCAGTGGTAATCTACATTTTAACCAGAAATAAACACATCCACATTTTCTATGCAAGTGATTCTTAAATGGACCCAGTGCAACCTGCCAGCCTCCATCATGCTTAGATCCAACATGGATCCAATGTACAGACCTGGCGTGATTTGTGAGGCAACTTCCCATCACGCCCAGGCACACACACCTCGGCAGTCACTGACCAAAATAAATGTACTGAACTCACATGTCTTCCACTGTGATATCCTTCAGGATCTGGCAGTAATCCACGTTCCACACTGCCTGGTCATCCCAGACTTTGGATGCCAGGAGAATTGCACCCAGTACAATTCGCTTCCAGTTTGCTGGGCAAATGTCTATCTCTGCATAAGTTAAAAGTCTTTCAAGATATACCTGTGAAAACACAGTAAAAATCAAGACTTAATCTACTTTGTTAACCAAGACAAATGAAAAGGAAAAATATCCTAATACACTCAATGCAATTATTTGAAAACAGTAATCTGTTCTCAGGAAGATCCTTCTATATAAGCTGGGATGTAAATGTACACATTTATGTCAAGCTCAAGATGTAATGAGATATATTCATATTTTAGTTGGCCTTTGCTTTCTGATCCTGAAAGAGTGGGCTTGTCAGGGGGAGAGCACTAACGCCCAGCCAGAGCAGCTCACTTGTGATTCTGTGCAMCCACATCCAGGCACACAGGGGACCCTTCAGTGATTTGGGCTTCCCAAAAGGTCCTCTATTCTTAGACCACATTAGTTAATCAAAAATAAACAACGACAACTAATGAGTTTTGAAGCCCGTTTATTTTTATAGTTATATAAAAGCACTGAGGTCAATTAGGTGCCTAACAGAGTTTTGATGATTAATTTTCACAACTATAATATGCACGGTAAGGACATGGTAACAAGATCAAAGGTAACAATAGCTACATGTTTTATAATTTAAAGTTTTACAGAAAAGTTTATAATCCATGAAAAACACATGTTAAAAACCTGAGTATGTGGACACAATTATGCCTAGCAAATAAATGGTCTTTTGTACATACTACGAAGTATAAAAGGCATGGCACAAGAAAAATCCAGGAAAAGAAAAAAAACCCACTATATATATCATATTAGGTAACTGTACACATTAAAACGTTTGTTCTCCATTAGCCAACAGCCTCTCTCAGGCCATACCAAGTTCTTCATCCAYGGAGAGGTGCTTCAAATTGATTTCACTGCAATCCCTCCACTGAGGAAAATGAAACGCAGCTGTTTAGTTTTCTTAAATCAGCAACTTCCACTGCGGTTCAGAACCAAACTCGGGGCAGGGGAGCAAAGAGAGCCCCTGTCCGGCACATGCAGTTGTTGTCCCCACAGCACTGGACGTGCACGACGGCGGCTCGGATCCGGCACCGCCACAACATGCCAAAGCAGACACGTTTCTAAAGCCAACCAACACTTAGTCCTGATGGGCTGCTCCGTAAAAACCCCCGTTTGCATCTACCAAAGAAGAGTCTATTCTTTGTATCTTATAATAGACCTTGTAATACCCTCTTCACTGTATCGTGATGAAAAGCAATTAGGTGGTTATTTAGATTGCTGTTATTCTTACAGGATTCTGAACTGACTGACAGAAAGGGGCAGATTTTATGAATTGCTCTGATGAAAGTGCAATACACGTGCAGAACATTATACCCACCTGAAAGGCTGCTTTTTGTATAAAAATAGAAGACTGCTAAGCACTGAAGGCCCAGCATTTTGTATTAAATTCTTAAATATGTAAAGCTATTCATCTATGGATGCTGAAGGAAATATACTTCTGTTGAAATAGAAGAAATAACCAACTATAAAGAAAGCATTCCTTTATTACATATCACATTTAAAATACCGTTGATTTTTAAAAAGTAATATTGAAAATAGAGACTATGAGTATATGACTAATTTATTATTAAATAATAATTCTTATGAAATAATATTTTAACAATAATTTTATTATTCATGAATAATTAATATCATTAATTTCAAATTGTGTCTAATATTCATCATTAAAACCTGAATTCATAGAATCATAGAATGCTTAAGGTTGGAAGAGACCTCAGAGGTCATCTAGTCCAAACCCCTGCACACGCAGGATCACCTAGAGCATGTGGCACAGGGCTGCATCCAAGCGAGTTTTAAAGATCTCCAAAGAAGGAGACTCCACAACCTCTCTGGGCA